CTTTGGAGCAGCGAAGAGGGTTAGAGACACCAGTGCCAATCCAGCTGGCAAGATCGCCGTGGGGCATGAGCTCATAGACAAGAAGCTGCTCCATGGTTCGTGTGGACGGGTCAAAGTCGATGCAATAGCCCAAACAGACGCACGAGATGTGGGTGGTGCTTGCTTGCCATCCATTTCACCTGTGTGAGGATCTAGGATCGAGCTCAGAAAAGAGAGTTTGAATTAAATGATTCCCCTGGGTACAACACGAGGCTATATATAGGCTCGACACAAGGCAGGTAACCCAGGTGTTACGCGAATGTTCGGAGGGTCGCGAAGCGTCCTGAACAGAACGTTCCCGAACTCAGTAGAAAGCAATTCGGTGGAAACCGAATAGGCTTGAGTTCGGTACACGTAACCTGGTTCGATGCTATAACTATAATAAAATATAGAAATGCACCTAACCTAGGAAATCAAGAATATCTATGCATGATAAAATAAACCCAAGCTAGATATAGCATAATAAAGTCTAGGCAAGCTAGCAAAGCCAACATAAGCCGTCGTACTCTCACAACTTGATGGGGGGGAAATGATGAACCGATGAAAGGAGAATGAACTATGCAACCAGAAACTGCTGTTGGTTTGGCAAAAGAAACGTGGTCCCAACCGGAAACTACGATATGCTACGTCACTCTTGGATTCGTTCAGGCTGGACGTTAAAAAAAAAAAAGAACAAAAGAAAAAAGAAAAACAAGACCTCAAAACCGACCTACCTCTCTCTGGAAGTCGTTTGTGAGCACTCGAGCTCGCTTGACTGCCCAAGCTTGATTGCCACCATGGGGAGACACTCCTTTGTAGACAACCCCAAAGCCGCCTTCTCCTATCCTATTGTCCTCTGCCCACTCTCCTGTGGCCTCGTTTAGCTCTGCCAGATACGTGTGAGCTTGTAGAAGGGCCAGTGCGCCTTTTGGCATTTTCTGCTGCGATACCCCACCGTGCCACACCCACTGCAACTCCTCAGCTTCACACCACCACTACCCTCCACCCTTTTACACCCGACAGCACCGCACCATGGCCTTGGACATCTGAAGAAGTAGCAGCAGCATGGGTGCTCGTTGACGTGCGGGTGGGGCGAGGCAGTAGGACGAGACACTGCTGCAGCGGGATGGTTGGAAAGAGCAGCACAGGTTGACGTGGCAAAAAGGAAGGCAGGGCAGTAGCACGGCTCCCCCTTCTTGCACTTCTTCTCGCTTCTGCTTCTGCCGCTGTTGCTGCTGCTCCTGCTACTGCTGCTTCCACCCACCCACTCACATTTAGAGCTGTTGCTGCCAGTGCTGCAATTATTTGGAGCCCTTGCTGCTCTTGCAACCCCTCACAGAACCTCAGGACAATAACTGCCTAAAGAATCCACGTAATGTCTCACTTCCTTGCCAGCCTCTCCCACTTCATGCTGCATCTGCACTCCTCGCCCTCTCCCTTGCTCCCCACGTTGAGCCTCCACGCAGCCATCACCAAGGAAAACCACATCAGCACCTCCTCCCATACTTCTCCGAATTCTCCTCACCAACCCAGCAGCTTTGCACCTTCAACCTCTCGCTTGCGCCCCTTCCCCTTTCCCACTGCATTCCCTTTTTTTTTTTGAAGAGAATGAGCGCACCACACAGCCATGTGAATCAGGAAACAAAGAGGCACCTGCTTGACTCGCCTCAGCAGCACACGCACGTTCACAGGCCTGGGAAGGCGAGCAGGTAGATCCAAGCACTTAACCAACTGTTTCAAAACAGACTTGCTTTTGTGCAGACGAGTTTCTGAAAGAACGAGGTGGGAGAGGAGAGGGGTAGACGTGAGGTGCAAACAAGCACGCACAGTGGAATGAGGTGACGTGAGTGACTTGGTGTGAACAAGCAGTCTCCCCTTTGTGCTCTCCTCACACCAGCATGCCTTCTGAAGCGCTTCAAAAGTGCTCTCCTCACAGCGGCATGCCTTTTGAGGCGCCTCAAAAGTGCTCTCCTCACACCAGCATGCCCTGAAGCAGCTGTTTCAGAACCGACCTGCTTTCGGCCAGACGGGCTTCAGAATAAACGAGGTGAGAGAGGAGCAACTAGGTGAGGGGCCTATCTTTTTGCTGACTTAAAAATGAGAGAGGAGCAACTAGGTGAGTTGGAGGTTATTGGGGAAGGAAAAGGAAGAGGGGAAAGGGGCTGGCAAGCAAAACTTGGTGGGAAGAAGAAAGGAGTTGAACTAGTGAGTACACAACCTCTTCTTTGCTCTCTCCTCGCACCAACACGACCTGGAGCATCTGTTTCAGGACCGGCCTGCCTTTGTGCAGCCCAGCTTTAGACAGAATGAGGTGAGAGGGACTTGGTCAAGAGTGGCCCGGCGTGAACAAGCATCCTTTTCTTTGCACTCTCCTCACACCAGCCCGTCCTGGAGCAATTGTTTCAGGACATTGCTGATTTCGTGCAGCCCAGACTTAGAAAGAACGAGGTGAGAGGGCAGAAGGGTAAATGTAGTGATCAAGCACGCATGGTGGGACAAGTTGGGCAACACCTGTGATCAAAGCCTCTTCTCCTTGCTCTCCATCCTTTGCGTTTGCAAAATTTCAAGCTCTGTTACTATCCACACTTGATTCACAAATCATTTCCTTGTGTTCAGACGTTCAATCCTCTTCTTTCCCTCTCAGCCCAACCGGTACTGGCATGGGTGGCGGAGGGAGCAAGGGAATTTAGCATAAGCTCAGTGGCAGTGACATGGGGCATTCCCGTGCCTAACGTCCCAGAGCAGTTGGATGCAAAATGTGTGCACTAACGGAGGAGGGTGATGAGCCAAGGTGAAACTCAGCACTGCATACACCTCTCCCCCACCACCCCCCTACACGGCACAGGTACATCTCAGCTCTGCTGGAGGAGGGCGATGAGCTAAGCCTGGACAAGGCAATCTCCAGGAGGTGGCCTGCCTCTGTGCATCATAGGCAAGGTGGGGTGTGGGTGGGTTGTGGTTGAGGGGCGATGTGTGAGCATGGATTTTTGCAAGGGTCGATAGGGGTACGCGTGTAACAGAGGGATTGCCCCTGTTGTAGAGGGAATGCATATAGTGTACCCTCTACTTTTGCAATGTACTCATGCGGCCTTTGACATATCTGCTTGCCCATTAGAAGCCAGTTTCACCTCCTAATTTTCTGCTCCCATTCTTCCCACTTCCCCTCTTCGTCTTCCTCTCCTCCCCCCTCTCCCCCTACCCCCCTGCTTCAGGACATTCTGCGCTTCTACGCGGTCTACAGGCCAGCTATGCTCATGTCTGGCGGACTGCCCCAGGCCACGTTGCTCTCCTCACCTTCATTTCCTCCCCATCCCTTTTACTCTTCCCGCAATTCCCTCCAACCCCCTTTCACAGGACGTTCTGCGCTTCCACGCGGTCTACTGGCCGGCCATGCTCATGTCTGCTAGCCCGTTTCTGCCCCTGTTCCCTTCCCCTTGTCCCGATTTCCCCTTCTCCCCTGTTCCCGTTTCCATCCCCCACCCCCCTTTCACAGGACATTCTGCAATTCCACGCGGTCTACTTGCCAGCCATGCGCATGTCTGCCGGCCTGCCAACGCCTACCACCGTCTTTGGCCACAGCTTTCTAACCAAGGCAAGCCATGCCATCCACACTGAAAGAAAAGGATAGCCACCAAGGCACTTGAGAGACTGCCTCAAATCTCGTCCCATGTCCCCTGGCCTGCCCACCCCCACCACCGTCTTTAGCCAGACCCCACCATGGCCTCCTCACCAAGGCGAGTTGCCATGCCACCCACCCACACCGGAGAGCTGCCTAGCACAGCACAACTCAAGGTAAGTACTGCCGTTTGAAGCGCCTCATAAGCAGTCAGGAGTATTGAGATGCGTCTCTATATTTTATAGGTTCTTTATGCACCAGCCTTTGGCCATGTTCCTCACCAAGGCTCTTTTTGACTCATACGCGAAGTACAGCAGTACTTGAAGATGACGCTGTTTTTGAGAATTCTCAAAAGCATCAGGATCAACAGCGTAAAGCTGGTGCGAAAAAAGTAGATCTGAAAATCCCTTAGTCTAAAAACGGCCTCCCTGCGTAAACTAGTTTCGGCGGACGGGGAAAACCTTATCGTGCGTTCATCAGAGTTTTGGGGTTTTGTATGCACCGAAGTCTTTGGCCATGGGCTCCTCACCAAGGCAAGTCATGCCAGCCAGCCACCCACACCCCAAGTTGAGTCCTTCTCCTCACTCTCACAAGGCTCTCCCCACGCATCACCACCACGGGACGGCCACAAGATGGGCAAGTTGTTGGGCAACCCCATCGACCCTGATGACTTGGTAACCACATTTGGCTAGGATGCGGAGCGATACTTCTCCTTGGCCTCTGTCCCGCTCTTTCATTTTCACACATCACCACCACAGGATGACCACAACATGGGCAAGTCTTTGCACAACACAATCGACCCAGACGAGCCGGTGACAACCTCCGGTGCAGACTCGGTGCAATAATTCTTCATGTCCTATATCCCCCTCTCGCTCATCCCACCCATCTTCACAGGATGGGCACAAGATGGGCAAGTCTTTGGGCAACACAATCGACCCTGACGAGCTGGTAACCACTTTTGGAGCGGATGACTTGCAATACTTCTTCCTGTCCTTACTCGTCCCCTCTCCCTGCTGTTAAACTAGGGTTACACATAATTTATATAACTACTTGTAGTGTTGTAGTGTAGTTATTTACTTGCTTGTTTGGTGGTGCAACTATTGTTCTTGGCTATATGTTCCGTAAACCTATAGCGAATCTCACATTTTTTTGGTGAATGCTCTCGACCCTCCCTTGGCACGCTCCCCTTGTCACCCACTTGGCCTAGGCTACTAAGCCTAGGCCCTAGATAAACCTGGTTACCAGTTCAGTTCATATCGTGACATGGTATTGAGCTAGGTCCAATTAGCACCGTTTTGAAATGGGCCCACCACTAGCGCTCGCAATGGCACGCCCCTTAATGCGCCCCGTGAGCTCTTTCCCGTTTTCAGCCCTTCGCCCGCTCATTACCAGCAACACATGCCAACGCGCACGCCAGGAACGGACCAGCAATAACTCCGATGGACCCGCCAGCAAGCCCGCCGACGGACCCGCCAGCAAGCCCGCTGACAGACCCGCCAGCAAGCCCGCTACCAGACCCGCCAGCAAGCTTGGTGACAGACCCCCCTGCAAGCCCGTCGTCGGACTCGCCAGCAAACCCGCCGACAGACCCGCCGTCGGACCCGCCAACAAGAACACCAGCAAGCCCGCCGACGGACCCGCCAGCAGCCAGCAAACCCGCCGACAGACCCGCCGTCGGACCCGCCAACGAGAACACCAGCAAGCCCGCCGACGGACCCGCCAGCAAGCCGCTGATGGACCCGCCGTTGAACCCAGTCCTGTCGACAGTCCCTCATTCCCCCCCGCCCCCTGCCCGTCAACCCCCCCGTCGTGACTGTTCGCGGGTGCAGCGGCAGTCGCTGTGGTGGGGAGAGGGAGGAGGGCATGAGAGTGGCGGCAGAATGCTATGAGAGGGAGGAGGAAGGGGGGAAGGGGGTGACGGCGGGACGTCCGCCAACATCAGCCGCACTGCCGCCCATCCCTCCATCCCTCCCCCCTCCCCCGTCGCCTTCCCTTCTGCGACTGCGGCTGTGGAGGGGGAGGTGACGTGGAGGGAGTGGCTGCCGTGAACCACTGCAGCCTCACCCTGTGCCTTGCCTCTCCCCTCTTGCGGCTGCTGCTATGAGGGGGAGGTGGCAGGGACGGGGGGTGGGATGGAGGGCTGGTCGCCGTGTGATTGGCTTTGCAGAGACCACTGTGGGTGGGGCAGGGGCTGGAGGAAGGAAGGGAGGGAGGGAGTGCAGTTCCAAGGGGGCGGCTACATGGGGGGTGAGTTTCAAGGGGGGTGGTTTATTGGGGGTGGGGATGTGGGGGTTAGTAAGAGGGGACACCGCGGCCACCCCCCCACCTCCGAAACCTAAACAAACAAGCAAGGTAAGCAAAGCATGTGTGCCGAGTGTGTAAGAGACCAGGAAGCAAAGGCAAGCAAAACAAGCAAGCAGAGCAGTCCTGATGCGCGTGTACCCACTGGACACCAAGTACTCCAATGAATAGCCCGGCCCACTGCAGCACGCGTCCCTGAAAACCTCACTTCCCTCATGTCGTGAGGCCCCTCCCGTGCCATAATCCCTCCCCCTTATCCTCCTCCTCCTCCCTGCAGCCTCCACTCAACTTCCCTGAGGCTACCTCTAGTCCCCCAGGCCCTTGTAAGCCGCCCTGGCGAGAGCCTCCCGCTCCTCATATTCGTCTTGGGTCATCTGCCATAGGTTCCCGAGCCGTGGAGCCCAAGGGTCTGCTGCTGCCTGCGGGAATGCCGCCTTAGCTGCCCGGTTCGATTTGGAGAGGAGGGAGATGGCCTGGCTTCGCTGCAGCATCACCGACCATTGCTGTCGGTAGTGTGCGTTGAGCCGGGCCGCTGTGGTAGTGAGTCGCCCTTGCCGAAACTTCCTTTTTGCTGCATGGGTGGCTAACATGCGGAGAAACTGCACCGTATCCACTGCCATTGCCCCATAGGACTCGACCGTCAGGCCAAAGAATCCCAGGTAGCTGGGGCGTCCCTCATACAGGCGGTTCTTCCTCTGTGACGCCTCCTCCGCAGCCCAGCCAGGCGGCCTGCGCACTCTAGGGTCCCTGTTTTGCAGCACCGGGTCTGTCACTGTGACATCAGTCACCCAAGTCCGCCCTCTTCCTAAGCACTAGCGGCGAGAAGGCGGAGGTCTCATGGAAAGTCTTGTATCCCGCTTCATTCGCCATCCGCAGTGCTACATACACCAGCGCATTGTGAGTCCTTACCGCATCCCCTCCGTCCTGGCACCGTAACAGGTGATTTGGGAGGCTTTTGTCTAGGATAGCTGAGCCGTCTCGCTTGCACGGGCACACCTCGGCGACTGGGAGTTCCATGCCTAGGCGGAGGCCTAGGGCCAACGAGAACTGACCAGGGAAAATGGAGAGGTCAGCTCTCGTTGGGACCGCATGGAGCCAGTCGCCCGCACCTGCCCCTTTCAGACTTATCAACCGAATCGCGTGGCCCATGTTAGTGCCTGGCCAGTCTACCGCTGTGTCTCCTAGCAGGTCCGCTGCCCGCTGCTGGTTGATTGCCTTTGAGAGGCTCAGCTGGAGGCTGCCCGTGCCCGTGCTTGCGGTCCTGAAGTGGCTGAGTGTTGCTCGTGCCGGAAGACTCTCTTCCAGTGCGGTCAGGGGGTTCGTGTTGGGTGGCGGCGGGGGCCAGTCATGCGACAGCAATGTTGTGGCTCAGTGAAGTAAGCAATCCGCGGGTAAGTTCAGGTGCAGCAGGAGCCCATGAGCAGCTGCAACGGACGCAATGTAGGCGGCAGGAGCTTCCGAGTTGGGATCTATAATCCCCATGCCCCCCAACAGGATTGGTAGAGTCGCCTGGCACCAGAGGAGGCTCTGCTCCAACTCAGCTGTGGGTATGCGCAGCTTAGCTGCCGTGAGTGCTGCACCTACTAAGGCCTCACTCCACTCCCTCCACTTCACCATGCTTAGGGCTGACGCCGGTGTCGTCCGTAGCAGGTACGGAATACGGCGCGAGATGATGCGGGAGAGGATCAGTGCAGCATGCTGTGGGTTGAGCATAGTGATGAGGGAGAGAGGCGAGGCCGCGTCCTCCAGTGTCGCCCTTACTTGGCTGGTGCAAAATTCCCTAGTCCCTATGGGGCTGCCGAGGACCTTGATACCACCCGGGTTGGTGACGAGGCCTAGTGGCAACTCCTCGTTTTCCCCCTCGTCCGCTGCAGTCCAGCCTATGTTTTACATAGTTTATAAAACTACTTGTAGTTAGTTGTAGTGCAGATATTTACTTGCTTGTTTGGTGGTGCACCTTTTGTTCTTGGCTATATGTTCCATAAACCTGTAGTAAAGCTCACCTTTTTTTGTGAATGCTCTCGACCCTCCCTTGGCACGCTCCCCTTGTCACCCGCTTGGCCTAGGCTACTAACCCTGGGCCCTAGTTAAACCTGGTTACCAGTTCAGTGCATATCGTGACACCGGCCCCCTTCATTCTCTCTCATCGCGTGCATTAAAACACCACAGGACGGCCACAAGATGGGCAAGTCGCTGGGCAACAGTATTGACCCCGATGAACTGGTGACAACCTTCGGAGCGGACGTGGTGCGATACTTCTTCCTGAAATTCTCCTCCCTCATTCCCCCCCCTTTCGTTCTCACTCATCCCACGCATCATCATCACAGGACGGCCACAAGATGGGCGAGTCGCTGGGCAACACAATCGACCCTGACAAGCTGGTGACCACCTTTGGCGCGGACGCGGTGCGATAGTTCTTCCTGCAGGAGATCACACTTTCTCTGCTACAGGTCCGTGGAGCACCATTGACCCGCATTGCCTCTCTCCCCCTCTCTCCCTCCCTTTCCCTGCATCAGGACGGGCACAAGATGGGCAAATCCCTAGGGAATACTATCGACCCAGACGAGTTGGTGACCACATTTGGCGCGGACGCGGTGCGATACTTCTTCCTTCGGGAGATCGAGTTCGGCAGCGATGGGGACTTCTCTAAGGAGCGATTCGTTAACATTGTCAATGCAAACCTTGCAAACACCATAGGTGGGTCGGAGGTGGGAGGGGACAAGGGTGTTGGGGAGGAGGGAGGAGCGAGGTCGAGGAGTGGATAGGGGGGTCGGAAAGAGGATGGGCAAGTTATTGCCAGCAATACCATTGTTCCTGATGAGCTGGTGACAACCTTTGGAGCGGACGCGGTGCGATACTTTTTCCTATGGGAGATTGAGTTTGGCAGCGATGGGGATTTCTCTAAGGAGCGATTCGTTAACATCGTCAACACCAACCTTGCGAACACCATTGGTGGGTGGTTTGGGTGGGCCCAATCTGTTTTTTTTTAAGAATTCTATAAAAACCAACACCTTGGGTGGTTGGGGTGGGTTCCTTGTTGCTGGGACGGAGGGAGGAGCGGGGTAAGGGAGAGGATGGGGGAGTAAGAAAAAGGATGAGCTGGTGGTAACAAACAACCTTTGGGGCGGACTCGGTGCGATACTTCTTTTTGCGGGAGATCGAGTTTGGCAGCGATGGGGACTTCTCTAGGGAGCGATTCGTTAACATCGTCAACGCCAACCTCGCAAATACCATTGGTGAGTGGGAGGTTGGGGGGATAGGGGGTTGGGAAGGGGGGGAGGAGGGGGGAGTAGGTAGGGGCTATTACTTCTTCCTGCGGGAGAATGAATTCGGCATGGATGGGGACTTCTCCAAAGAGCGATTCGTTAACATTGTTAACGTCAACCTTGTCAATACCATCGGTGAGTGGGTGGGAGTTAGGGGTTAGGGGGTACTTGGGTTGTGTTAGGCAATGATGGGGACTTCTCCAAAGGGGGATTTGTTAACATCGTCAAATATCAACCTTGCCAACACCATTGGTGGGTGTATGGGAGGTGGGAGAGAGAGGGGGGCTTGAATGGAGTTTGGCAGCGAATTCCTTCACTCACCCACCCTCTCTCTAAGTTGGTCATTTACGCCATTTCAGCCCACGTACACGTAACGTACGCGTACATGTACGTTTACGTGTACGTACGCGTACGTACGTGTACGTACGCCGGGCAGGTAAAAAAAAAACTTCCCCTAGAAAATTCTTTGAAAACGGTTTCCGAAAACCAAAAAAATAAAAAAGCTTTCGACGACCTATGCTCTGTTAGCATGTTAGTACGGCGCAACGTTTTTCAAAGTAGTAATGTAAGAAACAGGAAGGTTGCTAGCTAGGGTTGCTATGGTGTGGCGTCTAGCCTACATACTATGTCGACTAAGGCGGTAGAACTACGATAGCTAAGTCTGTCGAGAGAGGGAGGGAGGAAATTGTGGTGGGAGTTGATCTGAATGTGTACAAACTGTTCGCGATAGAACATTGCGAACAGTTTGACTCAGATCGCGATTGCTTTGCTTGCAAGGTAAGCGAATGTCACCCGCTCGGCAGTTTCGTCACCGCCGACCTTCACTGGTTTCGGCGAATCCCAACTTCGAGTCAAACCAATTCGCATGATGGTATTTTTGTTATTTGGGAAATTACGAGGTTGTGATGGAATGTTTACACTATATGGAAATCATGATTACGAGGGAGTACTAAAGAAAAAATATACATATTCGGGCAGCCCAGAAATTTTTTCACCTGCCCGTACATAAGGCCTCCAACCCAACAGCCGCGTAAACGTACGTACCCGTACACGTACGTCCGTAAACGTAAACGTAAATGACCAACTAAGCCCTCTCTACCCCTCTCATCAACCCTCAGGCAATCTGGTAAACCGCACACTGGGACTGCTCAAGAAGAACTGCAGCAGCAATCTCTATTGCCCTGCCGCCCCCACTCTCCCTTAACCTCCTAAAGCATTCATATACGCCCAACCCAACCAGCTCACCCCACAGGCAACCTGGTGAACCGCACACTGGGACTTCTCAAGAAGAACTGCAGCAGCATGTTGACTGACAGTCCCACCCTCTCACAATCAAGCCACCGTCCCTCACTCCCTCGCTCTCTCTCTCTCTCCCTCATCGCCCCTCAGGCAATCTGGTGAACCGCACGCTGGGGCTGCTCAAGAAGAACTGCAGCAGCACTCTGAGCATCGACTCCGCTTATCTGCCCCTCGACCATCCTCTCCGCACCACCACTGCTGCATCCGTCAGTAGCCCTTCCTTGCTCTCGCAATGCTGCAACAGTCCTTTACGTTCCACTCGCTTTCTTGCTTAATCTCCTGTAAAAACTTCCTCTCATATTTCCTCTCACTCACTTTCCCTTCACTTTCCCTCGTTTCTCTCATTTTCTTGCTTGCTCTCCTCACTTCCTATCCCATTTTCCACTCTCGTTTCTTTACCCTTGCTCAATCTAGCCTCAAAAGACACCTGCCTTCCGGTCAACTATTTAGTCTACTCGCTAACTGCTAAATTGCTACTGTACCCGTTTTTTGAGCCCCTGTCACCCCCCCTGTCACCATTGCCTCCTCCTCCCTGCACATCCCTTTTCCTTCCTCCTCCAGAAGGCAAATGTATGGCGATTCTTGGAGCACCCTTCTCACCACCCCTTCCTATCACCCCTCCCTCCAAAGCGCAGAAGCGTGCTATGCTGCGCTGGGACTTCAGGGGAGTGTGTGAGGCGATTCTGACTCCACCTTTCATAACACACCTTTATGTCCCTTCCACCCTTTTCTATCCCTATCAGGCTATCACCCCCCACCCATCATCCCCACTACCACCACCATTCCCCTGTGTCCCTTCCTCCCTCCCAGATGGCGACAACAGCAGCGTGCTATGCTGCTATGGACTTCAGTGGGGCATGTGATGCGATTCTGTTGCTCGCAGCATTCCAACCACCACCACTACTCCCCCCACCACCCCAGCTTATCACACTTCAATCTCATGTCCCAACTTCTCCCCCCACAGATGGCAACGGCAGCAGTGTGCTATGCTGCTTTGGACTTCAGTGGGGCGTGTGAGGCGATTCTGGTGCCAGCAGCAGCGGGGAACGGGTTTTTGGAGGAAAGAGCACCTTGGAGCAAGTTCAAACAGGGTGGGGCAGAAGCAGAAGAGGCTGCTACGGTGAGTGGTTGCATAGAATGGGTGAGATGCAGTGCAGTATTGTATAAGGTTATTTGGGCGCCAGCAGCAGCGGGGAACGGGTTTCTAAAGGGCACCTTGGAAAGGTGCTTGATTGAGAGGCAGTCTGATACGATGTGCAGATGTGATGGGTTGTGGTGCAGTGTGGTGTAATGCGGTGCAGTCTAGCTCATGACAACATGCTCTCCTCTGCTCTCCCATCTGCCTTCTGCTAAACTCTCTCCACCCCCCTCCTTGCGCCCCCATCTGGACCTGGTTGCGGAGTTGGAGACAGCTCTCTGTGAGGCCGTGGCACTCTCATCAACCCCGCTTCCAGAATGACAAGTCCTCACGCCTTTCCCCACACTCCTTCCACCCTTCCTCCCCTTCTCCCCCCACCAGGTCCTGGTGGCAGTGTTGGAGACGGCTCGCTGTGTGGCCGTGGCATTCTCATCAACCCCACTTCCAGAATGACAAGTCCTCATGCCTCAACCCACACTCCTTCCACCCATCCTCCCCTTATTCCCCCATCAGGACCTGGTGGCAGTATTGGAGACGGCTCGCTGTGTGGCCGTGGCACTCTCATCAACCCCACTTCTAGAATGACAAGTCCTCATGCCCTGATAGAGTTAAGTTTCTGTGGGAGCATACCCCCCAGTGCGCCGAAATTGATATCTCAAGTTTTACTTCACTTTTTGATACGATTCAAATTGAGAATCATAGCCAAGGAATAGAGCTACAACATAACGAAATTAGCGAAGTTTGAACAGCGAAACTATCATCGATGGCGTTTCTTGTAAAGTCGATTTTTCTGTCCAGAAATTTAGTCCAACGATTTTGAGATATTTCGGCCCCTAATCTTCATAGACTCCGTCCTTAGTCTATAACAAGTGGTATCAGAGCTAATTGAGGACTTTGTGGAGAGTCTATTGAGGTGTGAAGAACCTTTTAGACCCACCATGGCCTGTGGGTGTGCCTAAGTGGAGTTCTAAAGGTTGGATGTGACTTCCGCAAAGGGGAAACTCTGCCGAAATTTTGTTGGCGCCGACACTTGTGAAAATATTGGTGTGGCGCCGACACTTGTGGGACTTTGGTGTGGACAGCAAGGGGGGAGCTGAAAGCTGTGATTGGGAGAAGAGAAGATGAGTCAAGTGAGTGAAGATGCAGCTGAGAACAGGAGTGAGCCGCCACCATCCAAGATTGAGGCGATGGATGGCTCCAACTATGAGGAATGGAGCGGGCCGATAAGGAGCGCCTTCAAGCGCTACAAGCTGCTGAAATTTGTGATGAGAGAAGACAAGATACTTGACGAAGGAGAGGCGCGTGATCGGTGGATTGAGAAAGGTGTGGTGCTTTTTGACCTTATACTTCAATCGGTCAACAACGACATGTTCCAGCATATCAAGGAATTGGTGGAGCTGGATGACTCCGGACCGAAGGCGTGGAAGCTACTACGCGACATGATTCAGCCCAACACACTGCCGATGGTGATTATGTTGGAGAAGGAGCTGACTTCCCTCTCCATGCGACCGGGAGATGATGCGAAGCCGGTCCTTCACAAGATCAAGGACACCTATGCGAGGATGGCAGCGGCGGGCAGCACGGTGTCGCAGATGCAGCAGTGCACCAAGATCATCTCGGTGCTTGACAACACATGGGACAACCTCATCTCCAACCTCAACACTCAGCAGGACCAGTGGACACCTGAGTGGCTACGGCAGTGTTGTGCCAAAGCACTACAGTGGCACGGTCATCGCACTCCCATTCCGCCTACAAGCCTGCTCAGCTACTGGAATTTTGTGGGGTGGTGCTTCAACATTTGTTCTTCACACCCTCAAAGTTTCAGAATGTTTGAAGCAGTTTACAAGGCATGGCAACATTTTTAGTTTCAAGACTTATGGCATCCCGGAAGTGTGTGTTACTCTTTTTTGGTAACACCCAAGTTCACCATTTCGGCTGCTGACTCATCTACCGAGCCCTGATTGGTCTGAAAATCGGTGTGGCAGTCCTTTGCCGTGTTGTGCAGGTGGTCACCGAGTTTCAGGACAACCCAGCATCGGAGAAGCACGTGACAGCTGTCGAAAGTTACTGTTCCGTAGTCATGGTGCACTGTTGGCAGCATTTCCCTTGCCACCCTTTCATTGTTGTCATGCCAATGGTGCAGGGACAGAGAATGAGACAAGAAGTACAGGTGGTCAAGTGGGACTCTACCACCCTCCTTTTGAGAAGTGTGGTCTTCCTGGAAGCAGCTTGCAAGAGGGTGCAAGTGGGAAGACAAGCTGACTCATGGTTGGCTTGACTTACTATTGGTGGCCTTGAGTACAGCTCTGAACATCCAAGTGTGGTTGGCTTTGCTGACCTAGCTAGGACGTTTACCATCCTTCTCTAGCCTTTCTCCTCTAGGTTTCAACCTTCTCTGAGTTCCCAGGATGGTCCCAACCCCTTAAGAGTCCCCTAGGCAATGTTGTACTCACCTCTTCCTTGCATCAATGAAACTACACGTTTTCAGCCGAAGCTTACGTTTTTGTTCACTGCGTAACGCATACACCTCGGATGAAATCAAGCAATATACCGTTGGAAAGCAGACACCTGAAGCAAACTTTCCTCCAAGTTTCAGCCTCGTATGTTATCGGAGCTAATCGTGACGGCGTTTTGAACAGAGGCGGTTCGAAGTCATCAGATTCTGCTTAGGCGGTTTCAAGGGCATCCGTGACCCCTAAGTGGACTCTAGTCTATAACAGGCAGCAGATTCTGCAGGAGGACTTCCACATGCGCCACACGGGAGGTGGTGCTGCCAACAAGACTGCTGAGGGGTATGGAGCTGCAGGAGGCAGCACAAGAAGAGGGGGTGGGAGAGGCCGAGGCCGTGGGAGAGGCTTTGAAAGAGGGAGAGGTCGAGGTGACTACAACGAGGGGCATGAGAGCTCCAGTGGCAGGTTCAGGTGCGCAAGGTGATGGTGCACAGGGTAAAGCTGACCCTGTGATGTTCCTCATGGTTGAGTATGTGCAAGAAAGTGGGGGTGATGTGGGTTCAGTTGGGAAGGTTGTGATGCACCCCCTCACTCACTGGGTGATCGATTCAGGTTGCACAAGTCACATGATACCGAGGGCAGATTTGTTTGATGAGGAAAAGCCCCCTGGGAAGATCAAGTTTGTGGCTGCCGCTTCAGGTGCTTTCCTCCCTGTGATTGGTGTTGGGAATGCCAAAGTGATGGGATCCAATGGGGAGCTTGCGGGGCTTGGGAATGTGCTGCTGGTTGAGGGGTTGTCTGCTAACCTTTCAGTGCGTAGGCTGCAGAAAAGCAAGGCTGAAGTGACCTTCGGCCCAACCAGCTGCCATGCAAAGCTTGGGAAGTTGTTGCTTTGGAACCTGGACGAGAAGTGCAGCTGCATCAAGGACCCGTGGCAGCTGCCCATCATCCCTTGGAACGGGAAACCTCCAGCAACAGCAGCGGCAGCAGCAACGGCGAAGGCAACTGCGGGAGGAGAGTGTCAAACTAACGAACAAGAATGAATGAACTAAGAAAGAGTTTGGTACAAGTACTAACCCTAATTGGGTTGTACCCCTTATGGGCTACCCCACTATAGCCTACACAAATGTAAGCACTAAAACATTTTGACACACCCCCATAGGCAAAGTGGGGGAGAACAAGTGGTCACAAGACCAGTCAAGAAAAGCAAAGCAAGCTCACGGTGGATCACAAAGTCACCACACAGTCCGAGCACAAGCAAAGGTCAACAAGGCCAGTTCACATGCAGAGTTATATAAAAGAGAACAAACAATATAATGATCGTACCCTAGCAAGTGTAAGCATGCAGGTATATATCTGGATCACAGTACAATCAAGTCAAGCAGTGAGCAAGTGAGGCAAAGTAGGCACAAGGCCTAACACTGTAGAGAAGCGCTGATGATCACCGGGCGGAAGTGCCTTGGTGAATATATCAGCAGTGTTGGCCCTAGTGGCCATGTACGCAAGACGAAGCTGGCCACGCTTCTGCAACTCTCGAGCAAGGAAGTATTGCAAAGCGATGTGCTTCGTTCTGTGCTCCAGTCTGTGCTCCTGACACAAGGCAATCATGGCCTTGTTGTCTACGTACAGAATTGGAGGCGAACAAGGCTGCTCTCCCAAGTCAGTCACCAGGTAGGTGAGCCAGCGTAGCTCCTGTGCAGCTATGGCCCCTGCGTAGATCTCAGCCTCACAACTGGAGCTGAGCACCGAAGACGAGCAGGTAGACTGCCAGGAAACAGAGCCGGGACCGAGGCTGAAGGTGTAACCTTGTGACAACCGCTGTGTAACTGAGTCGTCAACCCAAGAAGCGTCTGCGTGACCAGTGAGGACAACTAGACCCCGTCCTCCAAGCACGACCCCCATGCCCGACGTACTGCAGAAGTAACGCAGTACCCTCTTCGCAGCATCCCAGTGCACCTTTTGGTGCCTACTGGGAGCCACGTAGCGAGCCAAGAGGCTGAGAGGGTACGCGAGGTCAGGTCGAGTGCACGTCATCAGGGACATGAGGCAACCCACAAGCTCTGGGTACGGACCACTTGGCTCTACGGACTCGTTCAAAGGTGGAGCTGAGAGCGAGTGGCCGGTAGACAGAGGAGTGGGCTTTGGCGAGGAGAACTGGAAACCGAAGCGCTGAAGGACCTGGTGCACCATGTGTGACTGAGTCAGTGTGATGGTGCGCCGTGCTCTGTCCCGAGTGACCTGCAAGCCAAGATAGCGACGCAGTTAACCCAGCTCAGTGCAGGTGTATCTCTTCTGCAGCTCTGACTTCACAAGGGTCAGTGCCTCAGTGTCAGCAGTGGCAAAGACAAGGTCGTCGACGTACGAGGACGTAGAATGGCGGCAGCGACGTGTCGGTGCGTAGAAACAGCAACGAGTCAGCAGTAAAAGGAGTACACCCAAGAGCCGCAAGTGTAGTCCTCAGTGTGTCGTGCCACTCGCGAGGCGCCTGGCAGAGACCGTAGAATGGCCGCCGGAGGCTCCACTGGGTACCAGCAGGAAACGACCCAGTGAAGCCAGGTGGGCGGCGCAGCCAGATCTCCTTGTGAAGGCTGCCCTGCAAGAAAGCTGTACTGAAGTCCAGAGAGTGCAACTCGTAGTCATGCTGAGCAGCGATGTGCAGCAACACCCGAAGAGTGGTCAGTTTCAGGGTGGGGGAGAAGGTCTGGAAGTTGTCGACCCCCTGTCGCTGACTGAAGCCTCTAGCAACGTAACGCGCCTTGAAGGCAGGCGGAGAACCGGGCAATCGCTTCACCCTGAAAATCCACATGCCATCGACAATGTTCGCCCTAGACGGGGGAACTGCATTGACGTAAGAGCCTGTGGACTTCCAGGATGCCATCTCGGCATCCATGGCTGCCTGCCACTGAGAGGAGTAAGGACGCGTAATCGCCTCTGTGTAAGAGCGCAGGGTCGAGATGTCTGGTGCATCCGGGTCTCCCTCAGAGGCAAGCATCATAAAAAGCG